GGATTGCTCCCTGGGGGGCGAGGGGTTTTGTGGAAGGAAGCCCCACTTCACGCAGCTCCAGCTCTTCACGTGCCCAAGCAGCTCTGCTGTGGGGCCCCTCACCAAGCAGAAGCCAGAGGAGTGACCCCACCTTCCCCCCCAAGGTCATCAAAGCACAGGAAGTGCAGCGGGAGGGTCGGCTCTGCATGACAGTGGCCTCGGTGGTGAACTTTGTCCGCAGCAAAGTGTCCAGTGACCTTCGGGATGTATGTGAACTACATCTCAATAACGCAGCTGAAGGAGACGTCGTTTGTGATTGCTGGTACTCAGAAATACAGTTGGTTTTTGGATTTTGATCCTGTACCTTGCAATTTTATTAGACTCATTTATTCCTGTGAGTAGGTTTTCTGTAGATTATATTGGGTTTTCCACATAATCATGTCCTCTGCATACAAATGCAACTTACTTCTTCCTTCAAAATAAAATGGCATCCAGGATTTACCTGGAGGTACGCGCTACACTCCCCTCCCGGCCGGGGCTCCCTGAAACACCCAGAAGAGCGGGGCTCTGCGAGGCGCTCAGCTCATCTCCGCGGTGAAGGGGCCGGTGCTCAGAGCCAGCGAGACCCGCTTATAGAGAACCACTCACCCCACTTAAGGAGGGGATGGTCCGATGTGCTCTGTAAGGTTCTGTCCAACTTTGGAAATCTCTTTATCCACAGAAAGTTTGTGGTTTTGTGTAAATGTATATATACATGTAATAGGTATGTTCCTTTTAAATTTGATATAAAATTCCTTACAGTAACTTTTTTTAATATCCAGCTTATTGTGGTGGTCGGCTGATGACAGAGTGATGGTGATCACGGTCCCTTCCCTTTGGGGGATCGTGAGAACTCACGACATCCGAGCCGTAAAAGTGTCTGACGCACAGCGAAACTTAGAGCCACTGAACCAGGCTTTATTTTTCGTCTGGAAAAGACATTTAAATATTTTTTCATGTATTTTTATTGATTCCAGAGAGGAAGGGAGTGGGAGAGAGAGATAGGAACATCAATGATGAGAGAGAATCATTGGTCGACTGCCTCCTGCATGCCCCACACTGGGGATCGAGCCCACAACCCAGACATGTGCCCTAACTGGGAATTGAACCATGACCTCCTGGTTCTTAGGTTGACACTCAACCACTGAGCCACGCCAGCTAAGCAAGACATTTAAATATTTTGTTGCTAAGTGTCTGCCCAAAATGTATATATTGAAGCCTAATCCCCAATGTGATCATGTTAGGATGTGGGGCCTTGGGGAGGTGATGAGGTCATGAGGGTGGAGCCCTCATGAATAGGATTAGTGCCCCTAATCAAAGAGACCATGTACTAACTGGTTTGGCTCAGTGGATAGAGCGTCCGCCTGCAGACTGAAAGGTCCCAGATTCGATTCCAGTCAAGGGCATGTACCTTGGTTGCAGGCACATCCCCAGTAGGAGGTGTGCAGGAAGCAGCTGATTTTTTTAAATTGATTTTTATTTTTTTTATTTTTATTTTTTTTAGGTCCAACCTGATTTTATTTTATTTTTTTATTTTTTTTCAATTGTTTTATTGCTTAAAGTATTACAAAGAGTATTACATATGTCTCCCTTTTTTTCCTGCCCTTGACAATCCCCTGGCCTCCCCTACCCCCCAGTGTCTTATGTCCATTGGTTATGCTTATATGCATGCATACAAGTCCTTTGGTTGATCTCTTACACCCCGCCCGCCAGGAAGCAGCTGATTGGTGTTTCTCTCTAATCGATGTTTCTAACTCTCTATCCCTCTCTCTTCCTCTGTAAAAAATCAATAAAATATATTTAGAAAAAATAAACAAAAAAAACACAAAGAGACCATAAAACACAGTGAGAAGGGGCTGTCTGTGAACAAGGAAGTGAGTCCTCCCTAACACTGACACCGAAACTTCCAGCACCCTGACCTTGGACTTTCAGCCTCCAGGGTTGTAAACGATAAGTTTCTGTTGTTTAAAAGCCACTCAGTCTCAGGTGTTCTGTTAGAGCAGCCTAAAGGGATAAAGACATGTATTTTACTCAAAATTTAAACATTTCCAAGAAAATTACAATGTAGGTTTTTTTAAATCTGTAAAACTCTTTGATTCTGCAGTTCTAGTCTTCAAAACTGATCATTAGATAAGTATAAAATGCGCAAATGTACAGGTCAATTGATTGATAGATAATAGAGAACATTACATCATTTATCATTTATACAAAATAACTTGGAGAGAACCTGCATATCCAACAAAAGCATGGAGTGCTATGCACCCACAATGAATGGCTGTGCTGTGCAGATATATATCTTTACAGTGTGTTTGATTTCTGAGGGAAGCAGGTATGATGCAGTATTAGAGAATAATCTCATTTGGGTTTTTATAAATACACTAGAGGCCCGGTGCACGAATTTGTGCACATTGAAAGGAAATTAATTGGAAGAAATATTTTAATATCTCTATTCGCCCTTTCTCTATAATAGAAGTGTCAACCAAATTGAACTAGGTAAGTGAAACACAAAGTAAAAAGACTTTTTACTCCTATATATGTAATTATACCAGAAAAGATTCACTTGTCAGACAACAAATCTCATTAACAGCATAGATTTTTATAGTGATACCAGAGGCACGGTGCACAGATTTGTGCACACTGAAAGGAAATTAATTAGAAGAAATATTTTAATATCACTATTCGTCCTTTCTCTGTAATAGAAATGTCAACCAAATTCACAATCGACAATGCCAGATCGAAACACACGTGTGCGAATGGCACCAGCAAGAGCTTTCTATGTATTGCGCATGCGCAAGTCAACTTAGTCTTTTATATATGTAGAATAAACTTGCCTAATTAGACCTGCTTTCTGATGTAGCTGAACTTTTTCCAGCCCAGTGAAGCACCCCAACTTCTCTTTCAGGTAATTGTCAGCAACACAGCAGTAAATATCAACACGAAGCAGATTATTATTGTAGATCACACAGGAAGAACAAAGGATGAAATATTTAACTGCAGCAGTGTTTGACTATATTCTGCGCAGTGAGAAAACCTGAAGTCATTTTCAAGTTCCACCATCTCTTACTTTCTTTTCAGTCGGGTCAAGTTTCTAAACTCTCTAAATCTCTGTTTTCTGGCTAATGTAAAGAAAATAGGATTCTACCGAATCTCCTATCTACCTACTCTAGGACTTCTGTGAGGGTCAACTGAGATGAGTATGGGAAAATGCTTCACAGACATATGGTTAAAATGTAAAATGTTTTCACCTGGCTATAAAGCAAGTTGTGCTCCTGGGCTGAAGAAACTCCAAGGAGGCTAGTCACTAGGGAGAGGAAGCTCAGCATTGCTACATGATGTCATTACCCAGCTCCCACAGCCACTGTTTCCAGATTGAGCTGGGCTGTGGGCCGCATTTTGCACCATGGGGTCTTGGCAGCGTTGGCTGCGATTTGTTGGGCTGTCACTCCAGGGTGGTGGCGGGGCCTGTGTCCCACTTGGGGGAAGCCGAGTGTTGCTTTGTAGGCACCAGGTCCGTGGTGCCATTTCTCTGTAAATGGCTAGTACATGTCACACTTAGCATATTAGCCTTTTATATATCTATAATAATAAAAGCATAATATGCTAATTAGACTGTACAGCCGAACTATCTTCCCGGCGACCTTCTGGACGAAGCTGGGGCTGCAAGGGCCGAGCCCCTTGCAGGAATTTTGTGCATCGGGCCTTTAGTATATAGATAGAGAGCATCCCCCCAAAAATGTAAACACACTAAACAGCTGATAGCTCAACTGATGTTTCTCTTTTTTTCTTTTCTTTTTTTTCAGAATGAACTCATTGGAGTTAATAATTATTGAAAGTGTGTATACATTTTTTGGGATACCCTGTATATATAGGAAAATGTCTGGAAGAAAAACAGCTCAAAATATTGGCCTGATCACCCCTAAGAGGTGAAGTTAGGAATAATGTGTGCTTCTCCCCCTGATTTTCTGTTTGTTTTATCGACATTTTCTTGCTTTTCTACAGTTAAAATATAACAACAACAATACAAACAATGTATTAAGCACTTACTTTGTGCCAAGCAATGTGTTGAGAGCCTTCTATACGTTTCCTTCTCTAATCCATACAAGGACTCTGGGAGACAGGTACTATTGACTAAAGACTCAGGCAGGAGTTTTTCCATTGAAAGTGACAGAATATCCAACTCCAGCTGGCTTAAGCCAAGAGAGCTCCTATCAATGGAAAATCACGATTGGCTTCATGCACGGGGCTCAAAAGTCGTCCCCCACAATGGGTTTTGGTTGACGCCCATTCTCAGACAACCAATCCCATCTGGGAGCAAGATGGCTTTGTGGCAGGGCCCAGTCATACCCTCGGGACTGCACGGCTATGGGAAAGAAGTGGTTCCAGCAAAACCTTAAAAGACTCTCCATTGGACAGCTTGGGTCACGTGACTACCCGTGAATCAGTCTCTGTTGTCCAGGGTCACGTGCCACAGTCATGGAGCCAAGGAGTGAAATCATAGCTCAGACTGGCAGAAGCAAAAGCAAAAGCTGGTAATGGATGCTGTGTGGGAGGAAACACACAGGCGACCACCACCATGATCTCCGATTTACTGAAGAAGCAGGAGCTCAGAGAGGGAAAGTCGTTTGTTCCAAGTCACCTAGAGAGTAAGTGAGGGGCTAGGGATGTGAACGCCCATCTTCTTCTAACTCCGAAGACCGGAAGCTTATTTACCAGACGATAGTGCCTCCTGTGAGTACTTGGATAGTATTTTGATTAATTTAGAAACAAAATACGATCATAAGCTCCCGTCAGTGGGTTTGGGGTGCCCGGCTGCCTGAGATGCAGGTGGGGTCAGGGCACACCTGCGACCCTTGTGCCCAACGCTTCCTTCCAAGAGGGTGACCATCCTGTTGTTGGGTATCTTCCCATCAACACAAGTTGCCGAGAGCAGCCCTGAGGGCCAGTGCGGCTCAGAAAAAGAAGACACTCCAAACACACATGCTATAACAATATCTGGTATTTATTGGCGGCTTAGCGTGTGCCGGGTATGGTGTTATCGATTCCTCGTGACCGCCTGTGGAGGTGGGGACAGGTGCTGCCCTGTGCTACAGGTGAGGAGACCGAAGCACAGAGAGGTGACGCTCCTTGCCAAGGTCACACGGCATCTCAGGTGGAGCGGGACATAGGTTGAGTCTGACTCCAGAGGCAGCCCTTAGTCACACCTGCTGGTGCCTGAGAGGATTGTAGTGGTCCCGACAGAGATCAGACCCGTAAGAAGCGAAGGTGCTCACACTATACCTGAGTATTCGAGGAGGCAGGGAAGGCTGACGCTGCGGGCTGCATCCCCTGGCATTGCCCCGGGCAGGCGTTTGCTGGGGACGGATTGCGCAATCGGGGCAGAGGCACAGCCTAGAAACCGGCTCAATATTCTTCCTGTTGTGATTTCCATCTTACTCTGGAGTTTATACTTATTTTATATGGATGTCATCACTGGTGAAAATGAATCCAGCCTCTAAGTAGACACAGGTTTAAAGGATATTCAATAAGAAGAATATTCATGACACAGTGTTAGTGATTTTAAATGCAAACTATATATATATTGTGATTCAAATGTTGTTTCTTAAAAATATATATGTCCATACATTTAAAAAAACCCAAAGGAATAAACAAAAGGTTAATTCTGGGGGCTAGTATTTTGGATTATTTTTATTTTTCTCTTTTGTTCTTTTCTATACTTTCCAAATTTTCTATAATATAGTATATCCATAATTTACAAGTTAATACATTTTTACAAAGGTTTCCAAGTATAAAAGACATAAGACTTCCATAACAACCTCAGTTTTGTTTTTCTCTTAACCTTCTTTCTTCATTTATTTATTCATTCATTCAACACACACCCGCTCTCTGTGCTGGGCAGGGCTCTTGCTCAGAGGGGACCCGGTGCAGATCCGTGAGGGGCTCCCTCTGCAGCAGGTGGGTCATACTCGTCTGCTCAGACAGAAACGACCCGCCCCCCATGTGAGCCCTGTAAGGACGGGGCCGTGTCTGCTTCAGCCCTGTTCCCCAGTCCCTGCGATGGGGCCAGAAACAGGTGCTCCGGAAATACTTACAAATGAGTGACGTCAGGGAGGCCGAGTCCGGTTCCAGCTCCTGACTTCCAGTTTCCATGTCTGCAAAATGGGGAGAAATACCCACCTCGCGGGGTTGCTCGAACGTCGCTTACACAACGCGTGGAAGCAGTAGTAGACCTTCAACAAAGAATAGGAATAGTGAATCTCAAATTGGGTCGACTGGAGCTCGACTAGGAATAAACTGGGTTTAAGTTTTGGACAAGAGTGTGTAGAGTACATTCCCACGTAGCTAGGAAAAGAGGAGGCAGTAAGTTTTTTAAACATATTTTTTATTTCAGAGAGGAAGGGAGTGGGAGAGAGAGAAACATCAATGATGAGAAATGATTCGAGCCAGGCATATGCCTTGACCAGGAATCGAATGTCAACCTTCTGGCTCACAGGTCGACCCTCAACCCGTGAGCAATGCCGGCCGGGTTTAAATTTTAAAATGAAAAGACAAACCAAAAAGTGGAAGCAGCAAAAGTCACCTAAAGGGAGAGGAAGGGAGCAGGGTAGAGGGGCAGAGACAGAAGGAGGCCCGACTTGGAAACCAGGCCAGTGTTTCACGTCATCCTAGAACAATGTGAACTGTTTCAAAAAGAAATGCCAAACGTCAAAAGAGCAAAACCAACAGCAAGCTAACTTTGGGCAAGTGGTGGTGACCACATGGAGAGGAAATCACTCCAAGTGACGGTCTGTCCCCAGCAAGATGCTCCCTGAAGGCGAAGCAGAAATAAACTGCAAAAGAACAAAAGCAATGATCACACGGGTGGTATTGGAACTCTCGCCTGGGAATGCCACATGGAAGGAGGACATCTTCCCTGGGAGCTGGGGAGAGAGAGGACACAGGGGTCGGTGGCTGAGGCTGTGATCCTGAATTTAGACCAGAAGTGCCCATATGAACTCATGATGTATTTGTAATAGAGTAATATACGTTCTTTTGTGAGCAGTTTTAGGTTTGTAGAAAAAATGAGCACAGAGTACAACCTGAATCGGATGAAGCCTCTAGATCTGATTACACGAAATACAGAGGACCTCGTTAAAGGACCTCTCAGGGGTACAAGCAGCACAACCCAGACTCGGGGAACTTCCTCTACAGGACAAGCAGCCAGGTTCCTTCAACAAATGGCAAGGATGGAGAGGTGGGGAGGGAGGGTGAGAGAGAGACAGAGGCAGGGAGATGGGAATGGGG